ATATTTATGCTACTTTCAGAAGGCACATGTTGACTTTGCTATATTTTTTTTAAAATACTGCTAAGATCAAATTATCAAAGAGGTCTTTAAAAATATACAGCAAAAATGCTTCAATGCAGTGCAAATTTGAGCTATTTATAAAACTGTTATTTTGTTCACATTGCAAAATGTTAAACTAAAGGAATTTTTGTCACGTACTTGTCGTATGTCCATGCATTTATGATACGCTCTGTGAGAGACACTAACTACACGTTCCATGAGTTACAGTGTGTATTAATATGGCGGCGCCCAAGCCATAATCGTGTTTTCTGATTGTGAAAATTGGGTGCACTAAAAACAGAGTCGGAAATAGCCAAATATCTCTACAAAGTGACATCAGATCATGAACCACTCCAAAAACTATTAATATAGCAACAATACAGTTCAAACACAAAGCGTGTTCGAGCTTGAACTAAACTCTAATTAAAAAAAAAGTGTATGTATACAGTTTTTCAGAAACAAAGCATTTTATATTACAAAGGGATACACTTTGATACAGGCCGTGGTTGGTAATATGAAAAAGGTACGTAACGTCACCCATTTATATACAATACATTCGCTTCTGCGGTGCAATTCAAATTAATACACTTTTCAGCAAGAAACAAAATCGTTCCGAGGTTTAAATAATGACTCGGGGCGAGTCTCCACCCACCTAAGAATAATCCAACCGGTGCAGAAATATGTACGTTTCAAAATCGTCATCACTTATTATGCATGTTCACATAACAAAGTGAACAACATATTTTCTTAAATATTTTATTTGTTCACATTGTTATTAAAACTCTATTAACAATATTCCATGCCACAGTGGACAAAAATATAATTGTTGTCAAACATTTTAAAGCACACTTGTTTAATATTTCTCAATGCTGTTTTACGAAAAGCTAAATTAAAAGCACTCAAAATTGTAAATCTATTGCCTATACGGATCTGTGCGGTGCAAATGTAAACAAATACATTATTTATTCACACATGCATTTGTTAGTTCCCGATTAGATTATTGGAACAGCTTATTTGCTTTTTTCTTATTTTTGGTTCATACGTTTACCAGCTTAAGAAACTGCACATATTTAGAATGCTGCTGCCTGACTGATTATCCCTACTACTGGGGCATCCATACTTCAGGAACTACATTGGCTCCCGGTTATAAATACGGTAAGGGTTGAATTCAAGATCCTTTGTTAGTTTTCAGACCGTGGAGTTGAGATCAGTTCATGAGTGTTACATTCGCACTAAACGTTGTGATGAAGTTAAGTTCAACCATCTGAAAGTTCGTCCAAAGTCTAGCAAGGCATCCAAGGATCGAGCTTATACCATTGTAGTAATTCGTGTTTTCTCCCGAAATGAGTTCTACTACTGTTTATCAAGCCTCGTGTCTGTGCTTACAAGTCGTGAAAAACGGCACACAAAATGTTGGTTGTTTACAAGGTTTAATGCTCTCAAAACTCACAAGTTCGTCATGCACCTGCTATCCAATGATTAACAAACTTCTGGAAAGTCAGTAGGTTTAAGCACACATCAATTGACTGAATAAAACTTGGTTGAGGAAACTTTCAACGTTGGAATAAGACTTGTACAAAGCAGAATGAAAACGATAAGTGAAAGGTCACCAACATGTCACACTGCGCAAACGCAGCACAGCGAGAGTGAACTCCGGTGCCTATGGCAACCAAAACTTATTAACATACTTATTTGTATGGAACGCCTGTTGGAGCTAAAAGAACAAACACTTAATTATATACACATGTACATGTCACTACAGTAGCTCCCCTCTAGATTGTAAGAGATAAATGAAACAATCGATACAAGCAGTTGATAATAACAGTCAGTGACAGTCGAATTGTTCATATTTGGCTGGCCAGTGAACTCGTCGACCAGCTCTGGTGGCTCGTTGTGGAGGAGATGGCGTCTCTGGCGATGGGGGTTGTGAAACCGGCAAAACAGTTCTCGCGGGGGCGTTCTCGCGAATCTGTTGGGAATGCGCGTTTGTCCAGTCGTCGTCAAGATACGCCACTTTCAAACGATCCTTAGCAACCGCATCCCGTCTGCCGTTGAGGTCCCAAACAAAGTATTTGCTGGCGCGCTTGATGATGCGAAATGGTCCATCATACGGAGGTTGTAGGGGTGTTTTCACTGCATCATGCCGAACAAAAACGTGTGTGCACTTGTCTAGGTCAGCTGGAATGTGTGATTGTCGCTGTTGTGGCCTGGGCGGAGTGGGACGAATGTCCTGCATGTGACAACGCAGCCTGTGAACATACACACTGGGGTCGAACTCAGCATGATCATTGTTAGGCACAATAAACTCACCAGGCAGCCTGACTGTGGTACCGTACACCATTTCTGCTGGAGAGAAACCGATATCTGACTTGATAGCGGCTCTGATGCCTAACAGGACGAGGGGAAGAGATTCCGTCCAACGTGGGTTAGCATGAGTCTTTAGCGATGCCTTGAGTTGTCTGTGTAGTCGCTCTACCATCCCATTTGCAGCAGGATGATATGATGTAGTGTGAATTCGTTGACAACCGAGCATGTCAGTGAGCATTCGAAAAAGTCGTGACTCGAACTGGCGTCCTCTGTCGGTGGTGATGGTAGCTGGTGCACCGAACCGAGAAACCCAGTGGGTAACGAATGCATGGGCCACAGTTTCAGCAGTCATGTCAGGAATGGGGATCGCCTCCGGCCAACGTGTAAATCTATCCACACACGTAAGCAGGTAGGACTGTCCGGCTGACGGTGGAAGGGGACCGACTAAATCGATGTGTACGTGTGAGAATCGTGCGTCGGGTGTGGAGAACGTACCAAGTGGCGACTTGATGTGGCGATGAATTTTGCATTGTTGGCACTTGCGACAAGTCTTAGCCCAAGCGCGAACGTCTTTGTTAATACCAGGCCACACGAACCGTGCAGTAAGTAACTGCTGTGTGGTCCTGATACTAGGGTGCGACAGTCCATGCAAAAGGTCAAAAACTGTTCGACGAAACGGGGCTGGGATGAAGGGTCGAGGCGTCCCTGTGGAGGTATCGCATAGAATGGTACCCTGCGATGTCTGGAGGGGGACGGCAGTTAGCTGGAGAGAGGTGTCGGGGAGATGTTTCAACTCGTCGTCATCGATCTGTGCTTGAGCGATGGCGTCGAAATTGATAGTCGCGTTCGTTGGTAAGGCATTAACCTCCAGACGAGAGAGTGCATCCGCCGCTCCATTATCATGGCCGCTGATGTGTCTAATGTCCGAGGTATACTGGGATATGAGGTCAAGTTGTCGAATCTCCCGAGGAGAATGGCGGTCTAGTTTGGAGTGTAGGGCGTACGTAAGGGGCTTGTGATCAGTGTAAGCGCGGAATGTCCGTCCCTCCAGCATGTGTCGGAAATACTTGATGCCGAGGTATAGAGCTAAAAGCTCTCTACCAAAAGTACTGTAGCGGGTTTCCGCTGGTTGGAGGCGCTTGGAGAAAAACGACAGTGGTTGCCAAACACCCTTAACGTGTTGCTGGAGAACACCGCCCACGGCCTTGTCCGATGCGTCGACTAAGAGGCATAACGTTGCGTCAGTCTGTGGGTGGACTAGGAGTGTTGCGTCGGCCAATGCAGCTTTCACACGCTCGAAAGCTAGCTGCTCGTTCGGCCCTAACTGAATCGGCTCGTTTTTCTTCCTCCTGTTCTTGAGCAGGTCGGTCAGGGGCTGGAGAATGTATGCACAGTGGGGAACAAAACGCCTGTAGAAATTGATGAGGCCAAGAAATTCCCGCAACTTACTCAGCGATGCCGGTTCCGGGAAATCTCTGATGACTTGCACCTTGTCAGGCAAAGGACAGACTCCATGCTGGTTGACGAGATGACCGAGGAAGGAGAGGGATGGCACGCCGAACTGGCATTTGTGGGGGTTTATGACTATGCCATATTGCGAGAGGCGGTCGAACAGGAGTCGAAGGTGTTCTTTGTGTTCAGCCTCTGATGAGCTCGCTACCAGCAGATCGTCAATGTAGGCGAAGACAAATGGTAAACCACGGGTTACCTCGTCGACGAACCTTTGGAAAGTCTGTGCCGCATTGCGGAGCCCAAAGGGCATGCGCACAAACTCGAATAATCCAAACGGTGTAGTGATGGCAGTCTTACGGATGTCTGTTGGTTCCACTGGTATTTGATGGTAGGCGCGTACCAAATCAATCTTGGAGAACAACGTGCACCCGTGAAGGTTGGAGGAAAAATCCTGCAGGTGTGGAATTGGGTAGCAGTCCGGAATGGTGTTCTTGTTGAGGGCGCGGTAATCACCACACGGACGCCAATCCCCGGGAGTTGACTTAGGCACCATGTGCAACGGAGAGGACCATTCGCTACTGGAAGGGCGAACAATTCCAAGGCTAAGCATATGGTCAAACTCAGCCTTGGCAAGTGGTAGTCTGTCCGGGGCAAGTCGACGGGGTCTAGCCGCAACCGGGGGCCATGAGTTTCGATGTGGTGCGTGATGTTGTGCTGTACCTCCGTTTGCTTATACACAGGACGCACTACATCGGGATACCGGCTAAGGAGCTCGTCGTATTGTGATGAAGCTGCATTCACAAACATGGGGCTCGCGGACGGGGTACCAGACATTATTCCTTGTATGGCAAGACTAGTTATGGAATCGACAAGTCGCTGGTTCTTTACATCGACTAGTAGGTTGAACTGCCGAAGAAAATCAGCTCCAATAATAGGGGTTGGCAAGTCGGCAACAATAAAAACCCAACGGAATACTCGGCGAAGTCCCAAATCTAAAGTTAGTGACTTCTCGCCGTAAGTTACAATAGGTGAGTGATTGACCGCTTGTAGCTGTATAGAAGTGGGTTGAGCTCGTGATTTGTGACTGCGTGGCAAAACACTCACCTCAGCGCCGGTGTCAACTAGGAAACGAGTGCCTGTGGCCTTGTCAGTTACATGGAAGAGGCGACTTGTTGTATCGCTGCCAGACCGACCTGTCGCCGCTAGTCGTTGGCTTGGCCGTTTTCCTGGTTCCGCTGTGGTTCTGTGCGTCGCGAACAAGGACTGGTGCATTTTCGTGCATTAGTTCCGTACTTCCAATGATACCAGCATTGGCGGTCACCGGATGGCTGGTTATCCGCAGAAGGGGTTGGACTACGTTGTCTAGGTCGACTGCGGGAGGAAGAGCGGGGACGGCCTTGTCGCTGCATGCCCTGTAGCTGAAAAGTCAAGGCCTGCACTTGCCGAGTCAGGTCATCAACCTTTGCGTGCAGAGTGAGTACCTCAGGGGAGGCGTGTCGTTGCGGGGGGTGGAGGGGTGGTGAAGAAACCGTGGAAATTTGCGATGCCGGCGTAGAGTGGGCAGACACCTCGACAATTTTGTCAGCCAAATCTGCCAGTGCTCCAATTCCCACAGTGTCCGCTGTGGAGGCCAAAATGGACTGGACGGTGTGGGGAAGTCGCTGTACAAACAACTGCTTCAAAATCCTCTCCTCCAGCTTGTTGTCCCCCAAAAGCTGGTGCATGCGCCGCAACAACTGCGAGGGCTTGCGATCTCCCAATTCCTCTGAAGTAAGCAGCTGGTGTAATCGTTTCTGCTCAGAAACTGAAGTGCGACGAATGAGTTCAGATTTCAGCTTATCGTAGCAGTCCGTGGATGGGGGTGTAATCAGGATATCCCGCACCTCTTGTGCGACCTCCGGTTGCAAAGATCCGATAACGTAGGCAAAACGAGTCTCCTGGGTAGTGATATGGCGGATGACAAACTGAGCCTCCACCTGGGTAAACCACAGGGTTGGGTCATTAGGCCAAAATGGAGGGAGTTTGAGGCTTACTGCAGCTTGCATCGGCATGACAGGCGGTTGAAATGGGTTAGAGGGAGGTGAAGTTGGAGGCGGTGTACCCTCTGTCCCATCAGGTTTAACCCAGACAGCAAGCATACGTCAATCCGACGTTAACTCAACGTCACGAATTCACGAAGGACACGTTGGGTCAACGTCAGACACCAACGTCAGTCCAACGTAAACTTGCACTGCTGATTCACGTTGGCCTAACGTTGTTTGTACGTTGCCTGGAACGTTGGACAGACGTTACTTCATCCATTTTCCGACCTTATATGTTACGTCATACCAACGTTGTTTGTAAGTTGGCATTAACATTGGATCAACGTCGTTGCGCTTATTTCCCAACCTTCTTTTCACGTCATATCAACGTTGGCCTAACATTGTTTTTACGTCGGCCCGAACGTTGGACAAACGTCTATTTCACTCATTTTTCCGACCGTATTTTTACGTCAAAACAACGTTGTTTGTACGTTAGCGTTAAACGTTTGGTAGACGTCTTTTCGCTCAATTACTAACCCAAATTTCCACGTCATACTAACGTCAAACACCAACGTTTGTCCAACGTAAACTTGCACTGCTGATTCACGTTGGCCCAACGTTGTTTGTACGTTAATCTGAACGTTGGGCAAACTTCATTTCACTCATTGTCCGACCTTATTTCTTACGTCATTTCAACGTTGTTTGTACGATGGCGTTAATACGGGACAAAAATTCCAAAACATATTTCTTTCATCAGTCCAACATAACCGGAAATTAAATTTCTAAATAAAATAATGCTCATAACAAGCATGTCAACGTTGACCATTACGTACGATGCCTTTTAAGTTCAATAACTTTGAAGAAAAAAAAAGACTTAAAGAGAAGCCAGCACAGACATGAGCTCTAATCCACTTTTTGAAGATTTGTGCAGGTAAACGACATCAGGCCGACGTGATGCTGTCTTTGATGGTGAAGGTTGCCACGGGTAGTAGTAGTAGAAGGGCTTAGGTAGTATGTCTCTTCTCCATCACTTGAACAAAGCAGAGATCTGGAAAAGAAAATTAAAGTAATGATGAACTTTTTTGTATACGAGCACATCTGTTTTATAAATAACGATGACTTGTAACTGTTAAAAACACAATTCATGTTAGCCAAATCCAAGTGCACATCAATTTTACTTTTAGAAAGCTTGACCCCCCCAAGAGGTTCCTTTTATATATATTCTAGTCCCACGACTTCGCCTATTTCAGTGTATTTTCGAGTAATATAATGGAGGAGTAAGTGGTGCCATCAACTTCAAACAATTTGGGGATTTTTTCCTTTAAATTGTAACTTCAAAAAAAAAAAAAAGATACCGTGAGCCCCCCATCCCAAGCAAAAGCCTGGGTGCGCTTCTCGTTTCATTAACAATTAATTTTAGAGTTCTAAGTTATCAATGATCAAAGTGTACATTCTTTCCTCATGTTGAGGTGTGCGTAAAATTGACGGATTGTTTTTAACATGAGTCCTCAATTGAATGCTTCAGCCATTCGGTGTTCTTGCTGGTAAACCAGCTGATCGCACTGTTACTTTTCAAGTCAAAAGTTACAAATTTTCAAGTCAAAACTTACAGTTGTTTCTAAATTCATGTTCCACTATGAAATGATAAGCTTGGAAACGATGATGAAAATCGGGCAAATCATGCACGACTACTGAGTAGCTTACTTCTCTAATGTTTCAATAAAGGACACTGATAGTGTAGCTTTGACAGTGAAATAAGAATTGACAATAGCATCTATTTTCCCCTTGAATTTTAATTGTGCACTTTCAGGAAAACTGTATTCTAGATATAAATCAGGATGACCTTTCAAGACTACCCAACACTGTCCTCAAAAGAAATTGCAACTCCTTGCATGGTAACTCAGTAACAGTCGTTTGAAACTTACCTTTTCAGTAGGCCTACATTGCAAGGGCCGCTCATAAAACAAGTACAATCTTGACAGCTGCGATGCTAGCGGTTTAATCGAAAACGGCAGTGTGCTTGTTCCATGTATCTTGAGGGTCACAGTATCTTGAAGCTTGAGATCAGCTGGGAACGTCCATCGCAGAACACAATCTTGACAACAGTAGACGATTAGCATTGAAACGGTGCACAAAACTTGTTCATTTTGGGCAACCATGTCTACAGACATGACATTCTTTTCCCACAGCAGTTTTAACGGATATTCAAACTTGTCAGATGCAACTATATAGCAGCTTAATGATGGTTCGCTTCGAATTCACACTGTATGCAAGGCATACTCTCTAGTACTAGTACTACGCGCCCGACAGACACGCACGCACTCATCACATCGCACGGTTTTCATCGACCAATAAGGTTACGTGGAGCGCATGCACACAGGCGCGTGCGCACTACCGGACACTACCAGCGTTGGCACACGACGTCTTAAAGACGTCGTTTAACGGTCGTTATCTTTGTGTGTACTTCAGCGGCCGTGGCCAAAAAGCCCAACATCTCAAAGACGTCATGGGAGTGCTGACCACAATTTGACGTCCTATTGAGGTCAGATGTGCAACGCAAGACTGACGTCACAGCGATGACCATCCAACTGTGACGTCCAAATGACCTGATTTGCCAGGCCAATCTGACGTCGAACTGGTGACCATAAGTTAACGTCCGGCACACGGCAGATTTGCAACTCCAAACCATCATATGTGACCATAATCTGACGTTAGTTCGACTCAAGATTTCGACGCCGTGCTGACGTAATGTGATTGACTTTATTTTACGTCTTACCAACGTTACAATTCTGACGGCCTACCAACGAAACATTGTCAACGTTAGACAGACGTCATGATGACTAAAAAGTCTGACCTGTTCCCGACGTGATGAGATGACCTTTATTTGACGTCTTATTAACGTTATAAATCTGACGGCTTACTGACGTCAAACTTTCAACGTTAAACAGACGTTATGATGACCAAAGTGTCCAACCTTTTTCCGACGTAAGGCAAATATGGAAATCTCCAAACCATCATATGTGACCATAATCTGACGTTAGTTCGACTCAAGATTTCGACGCCGTGCTGATGTAATGTGATTGACTTTATTTGACGTCTTATTAACGTTAAATTTCCGACGGCTTACCAACGTCACATCTTCAACATTAAACAGACGTTATAATGACCAAAATGTCTGACCTATTCCCGACGTGATGTGATGACCTTTATTTGACGTCTTATTAACGTTATAAATCTGACGGCTTACTGACGTCAAACTTTCAACGTTAAACAGACGTTATGATGACCAAAGTGTCCAACCTTTTTCCGACGTAAGGCAAATATGGAAATCTCTGACCCATTTCGGACGTCGGACAGACGTCGTACGCCCACGGGCGACGTCGCCGACCTTTGCCGACGTCGGATCGACGTATACTTGCTGTCTGGGAACTTCCACAGACATGGCTTGTGCAGAAGGTCACAATTGTTCAAAACAGGGTCACCAGTGTAGTAATTCGTGTTTTCTCCCGAAATGAGTTCTACTACTGTTTATCAAGCCTCGTGTCTGTGCTTACAAGTCGTGAAAAACGGCACACAAAATGTTGGTTGTTTACAAGGTTTAATGCTCTCAAAACTCACAAGTTCGTCATGCACCTGCTATCCAATGATTAACAAACTTCTGGAAAGTCAGTAGGTTTAAGCACACATCAATTGACTGAATAAAACTTGGTTGAGGAAACTTTCAACGTTGGAATAAGACTTGTACAAAGCAGAATGAAAACGATAAGTGAAAGGTCACCAACATGTCACACTGCGCAAACGCAGCACAGCGAGAGTGAACTCCGGTGCCTATGGCAACCAAAACTTATTAACATACTTATTTGTATGGAACGCCTGTTGGAGCTAAAAGAACAAACACTTAATTATATACACATGTACATGTCACTACACCATGTATGCATCGGCGGAATAGACTTTCAGCTTAATTGAGAAAGATTTATGAATTTGGAATTTTTCAATCACGGCTGAAAATTGTTCCTTAAAAAAATGGGAGTATTATTGTTATCTTATTTTGAAAGATTTTTTTTTTAAAGTAGTGTTGATGTTTTGTAAACTGTTTTGATATATCAATGCTAAACGTGTTATTTAAAATTAATCATTTTATCATTCTTGTTAATGGTACCCTTAGAAGACATTTTGTTTATTATTATTACATTGAACATTATTTCTGTTAAATCATTGGTTATTGTTTCGGCCAAATAAAAACCCGCTCATTTGGTTGGGGGGGGGGGGGCAGCACTGCTCTTGTATATTTATGCGTGGTGATTATTTATTAATTAATTAACTGACTCCGGATAAAGGAGGAAGCCACTGAATGAGGTGTAGTGCTCGGTGCTATGACTCCGCGCCCTACCGTACATGGTAACATACACCGTATCTCCACGCTGCAGAACCAGCACTGCGCTTCCAGACAACTGACCTCGTTGATTTGATTCACCATAGGTGGTGATCACCTTGTAGTTGTTTTTAACATGATGGATGACAAGTTGACCGCTGTTACTATGCTTAAGAACAGAAAACGTAAATACGTAGGTGCCCGGCACACCACAAGTGAACGTACCGGTTTCGAGATCAAAACTGGTACCTGGTAGAAGCATCACGGTCTGCTGGAAGGGCAAATGGGTGACGGAACTTGTAGATTCATCCGAGTCGCTCGTCCTCACCACGGTGAATGCTACCCGCTGGTTTAAATCGTCTGGTGTCTCCCCTGGCTCACCCTTCTGACCTTTGACACCAGTTTCCCCAGTTCCTCCAACAAAACCAGGTAGCCCTCTCGGACCTATCTTGCCGGGCAGACCAATCCCATCATCACCTTTAGACCCAGTGTTCCCAGGAGCTCCCCGCTCACCCATAGGTCCAATAGGGCCATTCTCACCTTGCTGACCTGCATCGCCCTTTGACCCCGGCTGACCGTACGGCCCCATCGGTCCTGCTGGCCCAGGCAGACCTGGTATTCCGGGTATTGCAGCAGGTCCCTGGCAGCACTGCTGACACACCTGAGATGCAGGACCATCGCCATCCGAGGGAACCGGCCCAGTAACGGAAGCTCGGAGCTTGACAGAGTTACCCAGAAGGAGGGCGATTGACAGAATGGTGGCCACGCAGATCTTCATCTGAAAGGAAAACAATTCAGGGCCTAAAATTACAACCAAAATCACTACATAAAATGAAGAACTTGTATACGAGACATAATTTGGAGGAATCATTATTCAGAGAATGTGTCGGCATTGGCCTATCCAAGAGCAAGGGGATAACATGTAAATAAAAAGGTGGGTTCTTTCTAAATCTGTTGCCATGGCAACTACGGGCAATCCACACTTGTTAGTATTATTGTTTTGCCTGCCGATAAAAGTTTGGAAAGGAGACCGAATTACATTATTTTTCTTATGTGACGGCACGCCCTTTCCACGGTCATGATAGAATCAATTAAACATCATCACACCTACCTCGATGGTTCGGTCTTGAAGTCTTGAAAATCAGGTCCAAGAAGAGATCAAAATGAGTTCACTGTAAAAATAATAAACAAAGAAAAGTGGTAACGTTTATGCTTGAGTAAAGAAAGAAATACTTTAATCATTGATTTTAATACTATTTTGAGGTTTTTTCACTTTGATCAATAATCATTCGAAACCAGGAACAATTATTCAGAAATAAAAACAATGGTCAAAGATTATTTGCATTTTCGTGACCGAATACGCCCAGAAAAAGCAACATGTTTTAATGACGCTTTGTGACATTTTTCTCTGGAACCTGAATGCTCCCTGAAATCAACATTAAACTGATTCAAACGCTTTCATGAAAGCCTTTATTCAAATCCATTAAACAATTTATTCAAATTCATCATACAAAAAAAATCTGTGTATTTTTGAGGCACTAGTAAGTCATTGAATCATTTTTGAAAGCATAATTATCTGAGTTTTTAAAACAGCATATTCTTCATTTAAATATGTTTTTCCCGTCCAATTTCACACCTTGCCCATTCAATGTGTAAACACTTTCTTTCAAATTCGCATACAAACGCGCAAGCATTCTCAAACCCAGTTGAATTTAGCGAACGATCAAAATATTTAAGGGTATCTCCACTATGCACATAAAAAGTAGGCAATTGACGTATTTGTATTTAGTTTATTTTGCTTTAGATTCAGTCCAGCTCGGGAATTTAACTTCATGCTTACGATCACAAAAGCATTCATGTTTAATAAAATTCGGCAGTTTAGCCAGATCAGTGGCGGCTCTAGGGGAGCGGAGAGGGCGCCCTCCCCCGGCAGTGACCGAATATTTATCAAAAAAGGCAAATTTTGATTGAGAGAGCACTTCCACACTTAACCTTTCTCCCGGCTCAAACTTCGCCAGGCAATAAACTCTCTGGGTCCGCCCTTGACAATATTATGTGGCAGTGTTAAAACAAATGATAAAATGACATGACTTTTGTTAAAATTTCATGAAGCAATTTACACACTTTTGTTTTAATTGTCAGGGAAGGAAACATGACAGGAACATTGTTAGGTGGCTAGATTGTAGAAAGAATGACATTTTGAGCACTCGCCCAAAATGAGGTCTATTGCGCAAATAAAATATACCTTTTTTTCATATTTAGACCATATTAACCAGTTTGTTAATTGTTGTAATCACTCTGTGGAAATAAAAAGATAATTAAAAGGATACTCAAAATCAATCAAATTTTCTTTTGTTATCGCTAACACGATCAACGGTTAATGCAGTCTTCAATCTGTTTCTATAGTTTGCATGCATATCTCTCTTTTAGTTCTTTTAGTTCTCTTATTATTTGGGTTTTGTTTTACGAAACTGATTGTATGTACGTAAACATGAAAGAAAAAATCTCGTGCGTGTTTCGTCATTAACCAATATGAAGAACCGGGTAAAATTAGGACAAGAAATCTGCTTTTTTTAAGGGAAGATGCAAAATCTAAATTGACGCTCGAATAATTTGCGCAAACCTCAACTCTTAACACGATTTCTAAAAATGTTTCCAGCCATGGGCGTCGCCAGGATTTTTTTTTGTGTAGAGGAGGACAAAGCACATTTTCCCCCCGAATATCACAATATTTTCCCGATTGATAATTTTTTGAGGGTGTCCAGGGACATTTGCACCCCAACCAATTAAATTAACAACAATATGATCGCACCTCTTTATTCTTTTTCTTTTTATCCCTTTTTTTCCTGGTTTTTTGTTTGTTTCGTTTGCTTGTCCGGGGGAAATTTAAACATGAATAATCGATTTGAGGCCATAACTTTGGCTTCAAATAATTTATCCCAGCTGGACATTGAGGCTGGTCAGGTAGGGGTCAAAAGGTGGCCCTCCATGTTTGACCGCTAGACAAAATGTTTTATTACTTTGGCTTGTCAAACTGAAGGGCGGTTTGACTATATATACCCTGGTTTTACGAGCAAAGTTCATGATTGCTTGAGCAGCCAAAGGGTGAAGTTATACCCATTTTATTTCGTTAGCATAGAATTTCTAAATTTTTTATTTTCCGGCTTTCATGAGCTTAGTTCTGCGTTCGTGATTTTTAATTATGCCTCGCACTAAGTCCAAGCAACAAGCTGTCTCTGGGCCGGCGGATGGAGCGAAACGGTCTCGGGGACGGCCCCGATCGTCCTCCCAACCAACACTGCCGGTCGCCGGTGGAAGTGCGACTGCGAGTTCCGGCGAGATGGACGCGGCAGCCCCGGCTGGCACCGCGGTTCCCTTGGCTACAGGCGGTCAGGGGAGTATCAACGAGGTGAGTTGGTTGCCGCTCCATCAGTCAGTCGGCCCGGAGGAAGCTCGTCCAATGCGGAGTTGGGTAAGTCCATTGTGACCATATCTTCCCCATTTCCATCCCTGTCTGTAAGTTCGGCCCCGATCACTTCTTCAATTGCATCGTCCTCTTTTGCTAATGATGTCGCTTTAACTAGTGTGTGTGATGATCTTGGGTCTAGAGTGCCACAAAATTTGCAGGAAAAATTTTGGAAAGGGGAGTTTGTTGAGTTTGGCGCACTTTTGAAGTCCCACCGTGGTTCGGGTGCTGATAATTCTTTGGATGATACTGTTTTTTGATCGGGTCCATTGAGTCGCCGGCTTGGCAGATTCGTCCTCATAAGCAGGCTCCTAGATTTTTGTCAATCGAACAGTGGACATCTGCCTTTCTAGTTTTTGCATCGTTATTTGGTACGACACCCTACGCTTGCCCGCCATTTGCTAAATTATGCGGATACCATCCGCTCTGCTGCTTTCCGACATGCTGGCTATGGCTGGCGGGATTATGATGTGCAGTTTTGATTGCGGCAAGCGCGTTTGCCATCTCGTTCCTGGGCCAGCATAGATGCTGAACTGTGGCTTGCTCTTCTCGGTGCGCCGGCTGTTAGTCAGCCGCATAATTTTCGTCCCTTCCAGCAACGTGACCGTACCGGTCTCGGGTTTGGTTTCGGCCCAAGACGTGCAACCTCCTTTCCCACCAGTAAACTCACATGCAATGATTTTAACAGGGGATACTGTGTCCGCGCCACTTGCCGTTTCGCACACCGTTGCTCCTCCTGCCAGGCGGGCGGCCACCCAGCAATTCGTTGTAGGGGAAACCAAGCAATTCGCGCCACAGCACGCCCCGCGGCAGCTGGCGCAAACCCCAGTAAAGCTAAGTAAGATGCTGCCATTTTTACGCACCTTCACGAATCGGCAAGATGCAGCTTTGTTGGCTGACGGTTTCTCACAGGGTTTTAGGCTTGGCTATTCAGGGCCTAGGGCAAGCTTCTCTGCTCGTAATTCATTGTCAGCTCGCAAAAAAAAAAAACAAAAAAAAAAAAACACAATATTACAATCTAAAATTGATCGCGAAGTTGAACTGGGTCGTTTGAGTCTGAGCCTTTTCCTCATTTACGTTGT